AACCAAAGTACATTGCACATTCTGTGCGAAGCAGCTGCTCACAGTTAAAGGAATTTCATCTTATGAAGATTCATTTCAATCCGGAAGTGAAAACAGAGAGAGAGAGAAAAAAGACAAACAACTAAATCAACTAGCACAGACGGTTTATTGATTGCTTTGTAAAACATAAACCATTAAATATCACAGGGATGGGATAAGACTGCATTTTTCAGCCTTATTCTTTTCTCAAATTTGCACTACTGTCGGGTCACACTGTGCGAGTAAATTTCTTCCGCTTGGTATGGAGAACAAGACTGATGAGGATTTGAGTACTGAAATGCTCAAATATTGCACGAAAGCGTGGTTTACAAGAGTTTTTTACACAGTGAAGTAATCACATCAAATGTGAGACAAATGGATCATTGCCCGGAGCTCATCCATCCTAGTTATTTCCATGACTTTCTTGTAGCTTCTATCGATCTCTGTTAGGAGTGATGGTTGTGCGACGGGAGTGGTATGGGATGAAACGGAAGGACTACTCCATCNACGTATCGAAGCCTAACACCCTAATCGACACCACCCGTAAATGGATACGATCCAAGCACCGTATGTAGAGCTTGTCTGATCTGACTCTTCGTTAGCGGTCCGTGGTAAATGTTCGTTTTGGTATTTGGGGTCTAATTCGTGAGCATTTGCCGCTAGCAGTTCACTTTTGTAGTAGGCGGGTGAATAGGCAACACACATGATTTCAACCAAATCTAAACGAGGTGGCTTAATACGGCTCATCCACATGCAGTTGGCTTACTGTTTACAAGGCGTTGTTTATTTGTGTTTGTGTGTGTGTGTATGTGTGTATAACAAAGAATCCGACTTACGATCCGACATCAATGAGACTGCGTTCGAATGGCTAATGTGCGACAGAATTCTTATTCTGGAAAGTATGGTTCTGACGGAACAGAAGCCGTAAGTGTACCTGTTTTTCCTCCAGTTAGACAATAGGAATTGCAAGGCAACTCACTGTTTACTGAAAAGAGAAACAAATAGAGGTCAACGCGTAGATATTTTCAAACCTCTCCTCCTCATCCTCCCGATGACGTACAAACGTGGGCTTGTGGTGATCGTATTTCATCGGGCAAGAAACACAACACGAAGAAGAGGAATTCCGAACTTAGAACAAACCATCAACTATCACAACAACGGATAGAACGGAACACATTCCAAGGTGCTTAATGAAGTTAATGACTCAAAGGATAGCGAGGTGATCCTAAGCAACCGTGGGATATCTTTTGCAAATTATCTCATGGCAACGTGACACAGTTCATTCTCTCTCATCGTTCCAATCCATTGTTACAAAGTCACAGTTAAACTTCCGGTAACTACACCTTTTTCCATCAAGCTTCAGCCAAAACCCGCGGTCCTTTAGCCTTGACCCAAATTCCTCTAGCCACAACCCGTAATGCTTTAGCCACGACCCGTGATCTTTTAGCCTCGACGCACAAACTTTAGTCATAACGCTTTAGGCTAGTCAAATCAAACCGTGGTGGAATATTCTGAGGTCGAAAGAATGTGCGAAAATTTAGTTCTTTACAAATCGTGATGTTGCAAAGCTTGGTTAAGAAATGAGGTGTGGCTGTCGCACGCTGCACCACATGTGGATTGGAGAAGGTTTAAACGACATGCCCTTATCGTCAAACGACTGGACGGATCTCGTACAGCTTCAATGTTTCCGTATAACATTCGCTACTCCTGTGAGTAAAAATCCCAAATATAACAGAACGGTACATCATTTTGCACTCGCAAGACCTGATATATATATATGTATATATATGTATAAATATATATATANGATCCGGACGGTAAGTATTTATATTCTGTAGTATCACCTTTTGATCTATATATATATATATATATATATATATATATATATATATATATATAGATCAAAAGGTGATACTACAGAATATAAATACTTACCGTCCGGATCTTCATCTAAAGTGAACTCCATTCATAGGAGGTGGATACATTGACATGCCTGCTTGTTTTATTTGCGAGGTTCGAAGGTGAGGATCATTGACCGCCTTTCGGTATTAAAGCACCAATGAAAATAACCGTTGAATAAACAGTAGTATTCACGTGTTGTGCTGAGTGAGTTATCATCATATAGTTCAGGATTTGACTAATACAGACCCCGATTGATGAGAATTTTTGGCTATTTTCTACCCCCACCGTAGAAAAAGTTCCCGGTTGGGTCTTGTGCAATGTATAATTCCAAATCCAAAGACGTCGAATCCAACCGGTTCAGTTCGTTCGACGCCAGGAACGCACGTAGACGGACCTATTTACCAAAGTTATTAAAACTGATCGAAAAACGTTATCAGTGGGACTGCAAGTTTCAGTGTTCGTGGCAGGTCAAACTAATCCGCGGTTAAATAGAACACAAATGGAGAATTTCAAACGGACTTATCTGAACTGATCAAATTAGCATGAAAAGATAGAGCGCACCGAAATGGGCGTATTGAACTACATTGATGGAGTGAACTATCCGTTGAATATGGGCTAAAATACAAAATATAATAAGATGGCTTTAATTTGTTTGAACAAAAGAGTAATTTCTGTTGACTGTATGAAGAATCTGAAAGTACCATATGGTTATTATTCATATAATGCACACACACACACACACACACTTGTCTCTGTTGAACATACAGGACTGGGGGTCTTTATGTTATTTTAGCCACTCAAGTGCATCACTCTTCCATTATTCGCATCCAAAAATGGGATTGCTGTTTAGAAGCGTTTGATCTATTACCATATGGTCCCTGACCTATGCCAATGGAGAATGCGTCTTTGCCAAACTTTGACCGAAATGTTTCAAGGCTGAAGGTAAATGAATTCGGACAACAGACAACGCTGACTGATTGCTTTTTTACATTTTGTTTTCACCTCTCAGCCATGTTCCATCCACATCAACCTCAATATCCACCCCAATATCCACCTCAACACCAACCTCAATTTCAAGCTTCTGCACGTGAAGTCTGTTTGTCCTGGCTTCCGGTGTTTCCAAACACCAGTCCTCCATCAAATGCGATCGAGGCTCAGTCGGGCATTTATGTGATTCGCGGTCGTGAGGGACGGGATGTGCTCCCGGGCAAATGGACCATGCGTAACGGATGTGGACAGATTCCGTTCGATGGACGTGAAAAGGTTGTGAATAGTTTTGAGGTGTTGTGCAACACCTCTCTGTTCCAAAACCGACAGCCGTGAGTGGATCTCTTTTGCTGGTGTTTGTTTTTTCCAGCCAGATGAGGCTCGTAAAATTGACGACAAAATCCCGATTACTTGAGTTTCGATGATATATGGCGATTGGTGTCTTGTTTGATAAGCGATTAAACCGGAAAAGCACATGTGTGACTCTTTTCATCGAGTTCACTATGCAATATTTTCCTTTTAAAAACTATTCCGTTTCACCTTTCTTCACCAGGAATATCAGTCTCTCCTCAGGGGTGAAGGTCATGTTCGCAATAACGTTTGAACAATAAATTCAATGGTGCACTGCTGTGGTAGCTGGTTGTAGAGATACGGATCATCAGGGATATCTCAAATCCAATAACTGTTCACCCTCTTCTTAAATGTTCTCATCGTGACGTTAGGCAGACACTAAAGCGAACAAAGCCTGTTTTCGATAACTTCTTCCGCGCACTAGTAGAGAAATCTATCGGGTTGAAAACTGTCAAACTAGTCTAATGGTTTGATGTAATGAATATGAATGGTTGATTGTAATTTTGTGATACGCGGTTTGGAAGTGAATGGGCAGAGATTTTTGCTTGTGTTACTGTGTGGTTTGGAAATATTCACAGTCGATAGATAGAGTGAGCTGTTCCATTTCCAGTATACGCCGCCGGGGTCGTGACAAAGGCCACGGTTGTTTCGGTTGGCTGGTTCCGGTTGAGGCCAGGGTAAGCGAAGTGACTGACTGAATCGCTTTTGAGAACAAAGGGATGGATTGAGTAGGCGGATAGCCACCGCCTTATCTGTGGTAGGATGCCATTGACGGACAGCTTTGAACTGGGTTTGCTGGTATTTTATAGATCATATTGAATGCGTTCTCCTTAGCTTGATGGCCTACGTCTGCAAGATGTTCTACCACTGCACTGGTAGTTGCTTCCTTTATGCCTGTACTCAACCGGGCCGGCTTGTGCTCCTTGATTCTTTGGGACAAGTGTCTGATTGTTCTTCCTACACAACTGACTGAACATGAGCAAAAAAAGTGGTACATGATCATTACTGAAAATGACTCACGTATTTTTAAGATATACGAAGACCATTCGTCGGCTTATGAATGGACTACATAGCGTTGTAGCAGGAAAAGTACAAGCGATGGCCTTTTCTAATCGGCGTCTCAGTAACTCAAACTTATACCCTCCTTTAAGAGGAAGTCTTCTGAAGTGTTCCTTTATTTTAACTGTATGCTGTTTGTGATGCTCTCATAGGCCGTTCTATCAAATTCTTCAAAACGAATCGTTCCGGGGAACCTTTGTCAAACAGTGTTTGTTTTATACTTTCCAGTTCCTTAATTAAACAGTCTCCGGAACAAAATTGTCTTACTCGTTACTCAAGGACGTAAACTTGATGGCAGTGTGAGCATTATTGTTGTTCAATGAACCTGAAGCTGCGGTGGTAATTCCTTTTCTGGAGAACTATAATGGACTGCCTTCCCGTGTTAAACCTGGTGACAAGTGACGTTCAAAGTCCAACGTTCCAACGTAATAAAAACCAAGACTATCTAGTGATATGGTACTATTGATGCGAATTCATTATTGATATGATAAATAATATACAAACCTTGATTCCTGAGGTATCTGAGTTAGGACAGTAGTCAAGACACTTCCAGATATAAATGCATCAAATAGGAATACATCTTACAATCAAGGTGCTTCAAAAGGGGACAACTCATTGCTGTGTGAAAGACAGAATATGATCANAAGCAAATAAGTCCAGTCAGGTAGTGACATGAAGCTCCCAAATTATGAGCCAATTACAAGAGAGTTGGGCCCACACAATTCGACCTCTCAACAAACAGCAACAGGTGTGCGTGCATGCATATATATGTGTACATGAACAGGTGATTCCCAAGGAGCCATCAATACAGGTCACGGGTGTAGGGGGTTAAATAATCAATAAATGATAAGCGGTGAACCGGTACAGAGCAAGGCTAAACGGGAACATTGGTGAACCAATAGCAAGGAACAATGGAGGTCACAAAATACTCATGTGGTTGAAGTCATACGAGTGAGCGATGTGCGTATGTCTGTATGTCCATTGACTTGTCAGAGACTGGGGAACTAAGCACTCGCTTGGTTATGTANNTAAGAAACCGATCGATAACCAGAGCGAAACGAATATCAACGGGAGAAATAGGAAGCGGTAGAGTGAGATGAAAGAACACAAATTAATTCTGAGGAGAAGAATCAACATGCAGATTGTACCGAAGTTGGCATGATCCTCTTGACTGGTGGTTGAAAATTTGTCAATGAAACTTCATCATCCCAGATGTGTACCGATGCACCCATTATTGTCCTACCATTATTGTCTTTCTTCAGATGTACCTGGATCCCAGGATCTGGCGGTCAAGTTCCACCGAATGCGATCCAGGGTGGGATCACGGAGACCGGAGAACCGTTATACATCGCTCGCGGGATGGTGAATAATGAATGGTGTGTGGGTAAAGTGCATCCATCCCATGGGGTTGCCTATTTCCCATGGAATGGTGGAGAGCACAATTTACGCCAATATGAAGTGTTGTGCTTCACGGCTTAAAACTCGCGAATCTGACAGATTGGTGAAATTTCACCGTGAGGCTAAGTTAAGAGCACAGTGAAATTCAGCTTCACGCACGCACACACGCACGCACGCACACGCATACATGCACACACACGCACACACGCACATACACACACACAAACACAAAACCACTGACTTTCATTTACCAGTTGGGAATCCAGCAATTAAAGAAAGAATAAGTATTTCGTACAAAAATAAGTGTTTTCTTTTTTTCCCGTCATAAATGGCCGGATGATGAGAGTTAAAAATTGACTGTGTGAAATTCGTATGCACTTTGCGGATGATATGAGTTGCACAATACCAGGTCAGAATTTGCATGTTTCTGAAGAAAACGCCTATGGTGCTTTATACAGGTACATGTGTACTGGGGGCACGTAGGTTCTGTAGGGGACTCTGCGTATTATCAAGTTGACGACGAAAGTTAAATTGAAATTTGTTCCCCGGAATGAAAAAGAATTTGAAACAAACCAATGTCGAAACAGCGGTTGTACAATGTGGACTTTCAATGGCTATACAAAAGCCACCCGGGAAAATATAGAAATGAGGAAGCTAGACGGTGCGAATAGGATGTCATGAATTTGGATATATCGCATTTAACTAATAGGTACTTGTGAGTAATGTTATGTTGATTTATTGATTAGAACTGACCATTAACCAGACTTCACCTTCAAACACATTCCTCAACTCGTCCAATCAACCATACACTCGGAAGCACCAGACTCGAAGTTTGCTCTTATTAGAACTAATCAATAATGTGTATCCACTGTGAGTTAAATGCGAATTATTAATCCAGTCTAGCAGGTTGTATAAGTTAACTCATAACCTGAATGGAAGAACTGATTTTGTGAGAGGCTTTCGGTTGGATTTAACAGATAGTTCACTGTGTCTTCTTTTCTTGTTGTCCTGCCCAATCAAACTGACCATCTCTGAAGACGACACACGAACAAATATGAATTGGCAATTCGATTTAGCTCTGTTATGAGCTGGTTGGTACAGTGGTAACACAAGATTTCCATGCGATGGGTTCGGAGTTAGGATCCTGAATGAGTCGGCTGATATGCACTACTGATGAGTTTTAATAAGAGTGAAACTCGAATCTAGTGCTTCCGCGTATATCGTTGACTGGGTGAACGGAAGATTGTGCGCAAAGGTGAAGTCTGAAGGCTGATCAGTTCCAATTGTTTGGAAATAACATCAAGATTATTTGCAAACTGTTCAAGAGCAAGTATGTGATACAATTGAAATCTGATGTAGACGCACGGGGACAGTGTGCGTGTGACTGGATTGGGGAACATTTAACAAGCTTCACCGATACCAACTGGCTTTCGTGTGTTGCCCCGGATGAAAATAGAAATAATGCCGCAAGTGAAGTTTGGAGAGGTAAGAAAAGAGTAGAGGAGAAAAATTAGGACTTATAGAAAAGTAAAAAATAAAAATTGTGAAAGCTGATTCATCAAATCGAACAATCTAGGAAAGAGATTAGTGAAAAACTATGTCTTTCAAGCATCTCAAATTCAAAAAAACAACCTGTGGGCACTTGAAACGGGTGAAGGGATTTGATCGCGATAGTACGAATTGGTGTGTTTGGTTGAGTTTATCCAATTGAAGAACAAAATAGGTTGCAAAGTTGTTTGAAAGGTCTCTGGTGTCTCTTTAGGAGCCAGATTATTGACGTGAGTTCGACGTGATGAACCACGGTCGTCCTTGATGGATTTGTAACGAAGTTCATTCAATACAAGTCGTTGTTATGAGCTCGACCGGGGCCAGGTTGTTCGACGAGATTGCCATTGAGGCAAGAAGCGTTGCTGCGTCATTACCGAGGCTATTTTGAAGCAGCATGTTGTTACTGATCAACTTGCCCCTAAATTCTTCCTATGCGGATTCAAACAACAGCTGACTAGTTATGGTCAATAGTTATGACTTTTTCGGGCAGCATCGACAGTTTAAAACCCAGACTCAGGCAAGAAACTGGAAGCTGTGATGAGAGATAAATCGTGCCACTCGCATCGGATGTCACGTGACTGGTCGGCCTCGCTCTCTCCCTTATCAGTATTGAGGGGTATAATAATGATTGATCTGTATTTCACCCGTTGACGGTGTTGACACAATTACGGTCAACCCGGCACTCCAGTTCAGTGACTGATGGGGTACACTTAAAATAGAATTCACATGTACTTGAAGATTAGAGATTAAGTTTATCCTAATCGACCGTCATCGATTTTTCGAATTATTCGTTTGGTTTCAGTCTCACGGAGGAAGTGAACCTTGCCCATGTGTTATCTATCGATGTGTTGGCATATTTGTTTGTCAACGGCACAGTTAGTTTGACCACCCCCAAATATTTCACATTGTGTCTCTGATTACCGAGACCCGATTTAGGGACTTGCATTTCCTCATTGCAATTGTGGACGTTCAGTGAACAACCGACCAACGTGGTACGAGACACTTTTGACTTCAGTTCAGTTCTTGGGTTGTCAACAGAGAGCAGGAGAAGGAAATTTTCTTATCAACCATTCAGTTCGTACAATAGTCCTAAAGACAATGTAGAAATCGTTATTCGGGAAGAAATGTCTTTTCCATATATCGCACCAGGCGTTTACATATATGAGGTGCTCATATGTAGTATAGATGTTTGATTGGCTGATTAAAGCTCATTTAGTAAGGGGGGGAGGTGGGTGGTTGAGAAGACAAAGGTCAAACGGAAAACGTTAGAGAGATCGGTAGATTAAAATGAAGGTTGTGAGCTAAGACCAGATGGCGGGATGAAGTTACGTAAGATACAGTAGAAACTATATGTCAGACATGGCAAGTGATATAATTTGGAACGGACACCGGAGACAAAAATAGTTAAACTCACCGCCACAATCATTCTGATGAACTATTTCACGTAATCTCACCAAGGAGTAAAATAATGAGTCAGCAAACAGAAAATCTGTAAACTTTGAAATTCGTATCATTTTTGATTAAATAAATAATACCTATTGTGATAAAACCGACAAACCAAAACCTGAAACAATAAGTCGATTTGGTAATATCTCGGAATGTAGACAAGCGAAGCTCATCACTGTCCCATTGCATTTTGTCTTGTAGCCCAAGATCCTCGTTAGGATAGCTGAATAAGAATGGGTTATGTACTATGAAAAGAAAACATCGGTGGTGATCTACTCACTCAGATGTATGCGTAATGCGGCTTACATCGATTGTACGGATGAAGGAATATTGCCTACGCTGGTTAAGATGAGCCAGCACGGGGACAACAGGACGCAACATTTGTGGTCACCCGGTTAGACCAAAAAAATCCGCGTTTATGGGTTATCTGTCGTCTACGCCAAATTCCTAACATGAATTAACCACCGCAGTAGCGATAGACAGTCGATTGCTCGCACCCAAACTATAGGGCACAAAAGTGACCGGGTTAAGCTGTTCACTTACCTCGGTCTCATAATGATCACCAACAACCCCATCATCAACATTCCAATCACAATCGATTTCACTCAAATGCAGACATGTACCAATCTGACAAAGGGTTTAACCCCCCCCCCACCCGCATTCGCCTTTCCCCATCCTCAATGACCTTTCGACCGAGCGTGCAAAAGGTGACCCCAGTTAAAACAAACCCTTGTACAGGCATACATATAAATCATTCGAAGACAGCTGTTCGCCTTTGGACTCGTGTTCTTTAAAGTTAAACACTTGGGCAACGCTTGTCAAGGTTTAGACCGGGACTTATTTCATAGCTTTAGCAATGCAGTCATACTTTTGTTTGGTTAATAAATGAAAAGTTCGGGACTTCAAGTTCAGTTGGGTTCCAATTCATAAATTGCGATAAATCTTAGGGAAGGACTTGTCAGTTATGTCGAACTGCATGTTTGTGATATACCAGTTAATGATTCACTAAGATGAAAACAGGCTGTTGGATAGAATTTTCAGCTGAGGTTCTGTCGCACTTTGCCCCGGGGAAACTGTATCAAATGATTGATCACAACTCACAAACCCGTCCACACTCATCTTCCTGAATGGATTGTATGTGAATGTGGTGGAGAAAGCTTTTTCCTCAAACTATTTGTTCCACTCTAAAATGACCCGGTTTGCAGAAAACGCAGCACAGATGAGGCGGTCTGCTCTTTGCTTTGTGAGGAATAAGACGGCTGAGGTCTTCGCTTGTTTCCCAAAACTCAGACCAGACGTGGTTTGTCATCCTCCGTTGATTCGCATTTAACTCACAGTTACTTGTGAGTAGTGGTGTGGGATAATTGATATTTATTAATTTGAACTGACTATCCTTCGGACACCTGAACGAAAGCGAATTAGCAACATGGTTCAGCTATGGTATGAGCTGGTTGACACAGTGGTAACGCACAAGCCTTCCATGTGCGATGGGTCCATAGTTCAAATCCCGAACTGTGGGACGGTGGATGTGCACTACTAATGAGCTCTAATACGAGTGAAACTTGAGTCTAGTGCTTCCGACTGTATGGCTGACTGGATGAACTGAGGATTGTTCGTGAAGGTGAAATCCGAAGGATAGTCAGTTCCAATCGATAAAAATCCTCTGTCGAGTCAAATGTGATTTGTTTTTTCACAAGCAGCCAAGCGGCCTGGTTTCCCTAACACAAATACACAAAAATTTCAGGACGGTGTGCCAATGGACCTGTGAGTTTTGATCACTCATTATCATTCAACACTTCAAAACCGCATCCATTTTCTTATCATTGAACGAAGCTTTCGACCGGATGTGCCAAACTGCAATTGTTATTCCAGAATTCTTTTAAAATGTTTATGATTGAATCATCACTCCCATCGCTATCATTTTTCCACACCTGATTACGTAACGCACAATTCATTGACAATTATTGATAATGATTGTGATCTGGTAATGTGAGCTCACTTACTGCCCCCCCACCGCGTCATTGTGTATGTTCTGTTCTTCTATTCAATTTTACTGCGAGCCAAGCAATTTTATGGAACAAGTTTGT